TTTTTCATTCATAAATCAAACACTAAAAAACTTTTCCAAAAAATATTTTTTAATCACCAACCAAACATAAGAAAATAAGTCAAAAATCAACTTGTTTTCCAGGAAAACATTTTCTAGGAAAACATTTTCCATGGAAAACATTTTCCTTCATACCAAACACACCCCTAGGAGAAATTCTTACCTTAACTGAAGAAGGAAGGAATGATTTGTGATTTCAAGCTTCTGTAAACTGGAATAAATAGTTCGAATTTGAGGAGCATGATGAAGAGACGTGAAGTAGTGCATCCTTCGTTTACGGGATTTGAGGGTTTTGAGAAGAACTGTTCAGTTAATTTTTTCCTATTTTGCAGGATTTGAAGGCTCTGTTAGGGCTTATTAGCTGAGAATGCTCTTCGAGAAATCAAAGAAAAGGGCATATTCTATTTCTGTACGTTTCTTCTCTATATCTTTTCTTTTTAATTACTTCTTATATTATATTAGCCATATGTTTCTTCTTCTATCTTTTTTTCTTTTTATTTCTTATATATATATATATATATAGGAAATTATTATTTTGTCCCTACACTAAATTAAAATATTATAAAATATCTACTTAATTAACTAAAACATAGTAATCATTTATCATAAAGTAAATTTCTTCTATTAAATATTAATAATTTGAATGTGTTTATGCCTACTACTTAATTGGAAAAAAATTAATTTTAATCTTCTTATACTTAATGTCATTTTTTTAGTCAATCTACTCATCAATTATATTATATAGTCTTTTCATCTTATTTGTAAATTTATCTTATTCTATTTATTAATTGTAGCCTTTTCAATTTTTACCGTATCTCCTTTTATTAATTAGTTATATTATATTAATTATTATTATACTAAATTTTAAAGGTCATAAGAAATTATTAAGTCAAAAGTTAAAAAATGAAAATAATTATAAGAAAGTACTACATTTATTTGACACATATATAAAAACATGTGCCTGAATAAACCTTTCTTATTAAGTCAAAAGTTAAAAAATGAAAATAATTATAAGAAAGTACTACATTTATTTGACACATATATAAAAACATGTGCCTGAATAAACCTTTCTTATTAAGTCAAAAGTTAAAAAATGAAAATAATTATAAGAAAGTACTACATTTATTTGACACATATATAAAAACATGTGCCTGAATAAACCCTTTTACTATATAAGACTTTTCCACTTCTCTTGGTTAATTAATTCAAATAACTTAATAATAGTATTTCACCTCATGAAAACGTGTACCTTTTGGAATCCTAATCCAGTACTCCCTCCGTCCACTTTTATTTTTCATGTTTCATTTTTCGAAAGTCAATTTGACTATAATTTTCATAGATTACATTAATTAGATATTATAAACAAAAAATTTAGATATTCAAAACCTATACGGAAAGTAATATAAATTGCAATTTTTTGCATATCAATATGATGAAAAAATACATCATAAAATGTTAGTCAAAGTTTTTATGGTTTGACTCTAAAATATGAAATTATGACAATTAAAAGTGGGCAAAGATAGTAATTAGTATGTCATGCCTTGGAAGAAACAACGAGTTGTATTTGAAATACTATTGTTACAGTGATTCAGATATTTCTTATTTACCATTAATATATTTAAAACTTTTCACATAAATATTATTTGTACTAATATTTTTTTCTTATTTTATTTACTATTTCCCCCCTTTGTTTGCTTTAAATACTTATCTTCATTATTCATATATATATATATATCTAATTACCTATTCAATTGCTACTCTTAATAATCATAACTCTTCTGATGTTCATAACCTCTAAATAATTAATTTAAATTTTTAAGATATCTTTTGATATTCCTCTATTTTATCAATATAAATTCAACATGTAGGTTTCATATGACCCCTATCCAAACACTTATTTATCATTATTGAACTATTTGATTCATGTTTTTGTTTGACTCGATAAATAAAGTCTCTTGAATTTTAATTTGTTATGGGAGAAGATAAAGATAAGAACTAAGAAAATTATGCATTAATTTTGTATTTATTTTTCTATCTATATTATTATATGACTTTAGTCTTAAGATCGGATATGGTACATTTTTTCAATTTTTATTTCTTTGTCTTTCTCTATATTAGACTTCTTTAATTTAATCTTATATGAATTTTTTATTTTTGGAAGTTTGTATTTTTATTTGGCCTCAAATTAGTCATTTATGACTTCATTAGAATTTTATTACTATTAACTAAAGTTCAAGTTTAGAGTTAGTTGTTTAAAAGAAATACATTTAAACCCTAATTAAAATAAGCATTCATTTTGTATTTCATTTCTTGTCCCACTTTTAAATATTTATTTATAACTATTGAATTTTATTATTTATTACACACATGTTTTTATAGAATTATTATTGTTCTAAAGATTTAAAAAAATAAAATGTATGGGACACATGACTCAATTCCTACTAAAACTTAAATTTAGAATTTGCAAGAGAACTTTCCTAGCAACCTATCAATTTGGCTAGGCATCTTTCCTAGCTAAAACATAGCTAGGGCATAGCTACGAAATATTTTCCTAGTTAAACTAAAATCCTTAAAGAGAGAAAAATTGCGCCAAATTAGATTTCCTTCAAAAAAATTGGCGCCAATTTCGATTTTCCGCCAAAATTTAGCTATAGAATTTGCTTGGAAAGTTCCCAAGCAATGTAATAGCTAGGGATTGTGCGTAGCTAATTCCTAGCTATTATTTGACTGAATTTCTAGATTAAAAAGTTTACTAGGAAACAAGACATTTCTAGCTAAATCCGACGCTAATGTCTTGATTAGCTAGGAATATTAGTTCTCTAGCTAAAATCCGTAGCTAATAGCATGTAACCCATTTTATCCATATAAGCTACTCATACCACACTTAGGTATTCCTCAAGGATACAATAGACAAGAACCTTTACATTTCAACACAACATACTATGTAACCCATTTTATCCATATAAGCTACTCATTAAATCATTTCATTCAAGCAATAAGTAACCATTATTCAATTGATACAATTAAAGGATTTGCATTCATTAGTCTTGAAGACTTAGAGAACTCACTATGGCACCATTGAAGCCTACTCGTGCCATGTATGGATAGCATCCCATACTACTACCCATACTTTGTAGAACTCCTCAAATAATCACAATGCACATCTTACGTGATGGAAATAGGCGTTTAACCGATATAGACCATGATAGCTAAGTCATGGAATCCGATGTCATATGACCCCACACTGATGAATGTGTTCTACTTGCCTAAGGTAGAACTGTATGATATTTTAGCGTTGGCGTAGACCACTAGATAATATATATCCTATGTGGGCACATAGTTATGGGGTAGGAAGATGTTCATTGGAACTCTAACCTAACATCAGAAGAGTTTCCATCTAACCCTATCCACCTGGTGCTTAGCCTCCATTCCTATAGAGTAGTTCATTCAGATTAACATTCTTTGTACTTGAGAGGGCTACAAACACTAAGTCTACCGACCCAAATTACATTACAAAAGAAAGGGTTTCCATCACTAGGTCTTCCAATTCAAGGTACATAAAGGATAGCTCATGACTTTCCAAGAAGGGTGCCATCTACATTGGGTCTACCGATTCAAGGTCACTATTCATTCATGAAAGGGCACCTATACTAGGTCTACCAAATAAAGACACCAATCACACTTCATGGAGGGGATTCCCCATTTGGTCTACCGGTCCTAAGATACATTAATCACATCACATTCATTTACACAAGGAGGAGGATTCCCTAGTCCTACCGAATCAATGTGTAAGATTTCATTACATTACTAGGAGGACCTTTCACAATAGATCAACCTCATACATGATCATTAAGAGAGAACATACTTTCCATCACAATACAATAATACTTCATACAAGATCACTAATGAGATCACATAAACATATTCACCTTATACAACTATCTACACAATAACATGATGATACTTCAATTCACAATATAATGCCTTCATGGTCATAATCACAACACATTCAATATATAAACACCTCCACCATAAGTGGATAAATCCATACAAGAACAAGTCTACTATAACATGAAGTTAGGTCAACTTACCATTCTCCAAAGCCATAATCACCAT